TCCAGGGGGCGTGTCTGTGACTGTCAGGGCACTGTGGTATTAGCACCAGGAAGGGGGGGGTGGGGGGGTTGGTAACAGTGAGATGGATTTTGTGCAGCTTTATCAATTGTGCCGCACTGCAAAACAGGAGCAGAGAGAGATTTGCTACAAGATCTTAGCTTGATTAATACATTCCTTCTTTTGTCTGCAGTGAAATGCTGCTCCAATATCACAGTGTTCTATATTGATTGCTCAGCCAAAAGACAAACATTCTGTGATCAATACAGAACCAAAAGAAAGAGCAAAATGGTAAAGAAATAGGTTTTTAACTCATATTATGTGTCAATCTCTCCTTCTAGGGCAATGTCAAATTACACATTATTTATGGCCAGTTAATTCATCGTATAAGCTACAAATCTAAAAGTCAGTCATCCAATCATATCATTTAAAGGGAAACACTGCAGCCAATCTGAAAGGTATAGGTTTAATTGCTATGGAAGTGCAAGCGGCTGTTAACTGGGAGTGCTTAGATTTCAGGTTAGTGTGGACAGATCAGTAAAATACTGGAGCCAGAACAAATGGATGTATGGACAGCACAGTGGCTTAGTGGTTAGCACTCCTGCCTTGCAACACTAGGGTTCTTGGTTGGAACCCCAACCAGGACACTGCATGGAGTTTACATGTTCCCCTTCTGTTTGTGTGGGTTTTTGGCCCTGGTATGTGAATGTACGTAGAAGAAAATATAAGATAAATCTCCTACACTCAGAGGACCAGATATGGCATATGTGGAAGGATCTTCATAGACCTTGGCATTCGAACCAATACGGCAGTGCAGTGTAGCCCCATAAGGGCTAGGGCAGCCCAATACGGCATTAGAAAATAAGAAAGGGAAATGGGCGCACAAGCCTTGCAGATTGCCTCAATAAAAACTTTAATCATACAAAGTAGGAGATGTATACTCACAAACAACAAATTTACACAGGCATATCATGATGGACAGTGGTCCATGGTCTGAAATGGTGCACGAGTCCCACAAGCCAAAAAGGACGCTTGAGAATGCTGGCGCATTTCAAAGAGTGATCTCCTCTTCATCAGAGCCTAAGGTGGCCTTGATAGGCTCTGATGAAGAGATCACTCCTCGAAACGCGTCAACAATTCTCAAGCGTCCTTTTTGCTTGTAGGACTCGTATACCATTTCAGACCATGGACCACTGTCCGTCATGATATGCCTGTTTACATTTGCTAATTGTGAGTATACATTTGCTACTTTGTACAATTAAAGTTTTCAAGACTTGTGCGCCCCTTTCCCTTTATTTTCTAATGTAAATGCACGTATGTGAGTTAGAGACCTTAGATTGTAAGCTCCTTGAGGGCAGGGACTGTGAATGTACAATATATAAAACACTGTGTAAAATTGTTGGTGCTATAAAAATGCCAGGAATAAAAAAAAAAAAAAATATATATATATATATATATATATATATATATATATATATATATATATATATTACTGTTCTGTACATTATTTGGGGGGAAAGAAATGCAAATGTGTAGGCCATCACAATCAGTCCAATGCTGGCTTTCATTTTCCAACCTAATACAAAAAATGGTAGATGCTTCTGTTTTTTTGGGCTTTGCAATAGATGGCAACAGCAATCTCCCATTACATCACAACATACAGGTTCAGATCTGCTCAGTTATGACATATGCCATACACCGGTGTCAATTTTTAAGTTCCTCCACATGTGCCTGATGTTTAAGGCACATGGATTCCATAAGAAACATTTTTTTCCCCACAGAAAAGGTGGTCCTATTGAAATTGTATTGAGGATAAACATTTTAAATGCTTCAGTTCTGCTTTACAGACCTTTATTACCATTTAACCACTTGCCATCTGCCCTGTAGCCGATATACTGGTACAAGGCGGCATGGCTGGGTGAAATCAATTATATATATGTGATTTGCATTTCCGGGTAGGGGGCACGTGCATCGCCCTACCTGCGCCGCTATTGGCGGCTGGGTATGTCAATCACCGGGTCCCAGCCGAGACCCCGCGATCATCGGCAAAGCTGACAGGGGAGAAACCTGTGTGTAAACAACACAGGTCTCTCTCCTGTCAGCATGGACATGCTGCTTTTTAATTCTCTGCACAGCACAGCGATACAAAGCAGCATGTTTCCCAAGAAAAACACAGCACACAATGTAAAACAGCACACAGTTAATCCTTTGATTTCCCCAGATGTTAACCCCTTCCTGCCCAGTGTCATTAGTACAGTGTCAGTGCTTTTTATTAGCATTGATCACTGTATTGGTGTCACTGGGGATGTCAGTGGCAGTTAATTCCCACCCAGTGTCAGAATGCCTAGTTCCGCTATAAGTCGCTGATCGCCCCAATTACTAGTATAAAAAAAATTTAAATTCCAGTATATATACGGCCATTTATAGACGCTATAACTTTCACGTAAACCAATTAATATACAATTATTGGGATTTTTTTTTCAGCAAAGACATGTAGCAGAATACATTTTGGCCTAAAATGATGAAATTTGATTTTTTAAAATTTTTTGATTGGATATGCTTTATAGCGCAAAAAATAAAAAATGCAGAGGTGATCAAATAACACTGAAAGAAAGCTCTATTTGTGGGGAAAAAAATGACAAATTTCATTTATGTACAGTGTTGCATGACCGCGCAACTGTCAGTTAAAATAATGCAGCGCCGTATCGCAAAAAATGGCCTGGTCAGGAAGTTGGGTAAATCCTCTGGAAGGCAAGTGGTTAAACATAAAAATTAGAAAATAAAAGTGTGTCAGCAAGTCAAACCAAGAACTATTGAGGGGACAAAGTCTGAGCCTTCGTAGAGTTCATACAACATGCCTCTTACAGCTGCCCTCCACATAAAAGGGATAATCCACGTGTGTCGTGGGGCTAGGCTTTACGTGCCTGACATTTGTGGCACAAGTCCAACATTTCAAGGATTTCACAGAATGGGGGTGGCACACATGTCCGATCATACCACAGATTCTCAGAACAGCTGCCCATCACACCAGCTGGCGTCTGCCCCCATTAACGAAGAACTAAGCTATGTTCAGACACAATGGCCAGCTCTCTCCAGTTCTCTTGCCCGAATAACCTAACAATTAAGGATTACTCCGGGGCAGTTCATCAATAGAGGAGCTCTGTGTTGTCACATCTGGCTGCTGCCTGAATGCAATGTGATACTGTATAGATTCTGCTTTGCTGAATGGCAGAATACACTCCTGATACCAAAGTCACTACAGTCAGAGATTAAACCCATACCCCCCTTATTCTCTGACACTGAATAGTAACCATGCAGCATTAGTGATCTGGATTCATACTTCTCTGAATCCACACTGCAATGGCTTAACACTTCATACTTTTCAGCAGCTGCGAACTGGAGCTGGCTATGTCATATACTTTGTTTCTGTCAATCATGGCATCCAATTTAAACAAAGGGAAGACCTGTCCCTAAAAAATGTAGGAATATACGGTTGAAACAATCGCATTTTAGCCGATATGCCTTTTGCAGCTCCAGATGGTTACAATTAGTGCGACATAATCCAGATGCAAAGGGGTCAAACATACGGTGAACATGTATGTCATCTACACATAGCACACTAATAATGGGAAAATACTAATGTAATACAAGAAGCCATAAAAGGAAAGCAGGTAAGAAAAGCTATTCCCAGATGAGCCTATAGCTATGCATATGCAAAACACTAAGCCTGAATCATGATTAAACAGGAACAAAAGTTAAGGTGTTACCCATTTATTCCCAGTGTTGTGCAAACCATTTCATTTGTCCAATAAAGGCTAAAGAATTGAAGTTAGCTCTTGATTGGCTGCAATAGGAAAAGCCCTTTTTATTTTTTTCCTTTGCTCCAGTTTTTTTTTTTTAATGAATCACAATGTATGCAAATAGGTTGGCACAGATTCCTGACATACATCTGGGAATCAGCACATCCCACAAAGACAGCAAAACCTGCTTCTAGTTAAAAAAAAATATATAAAAGTAGCACCTGATTTTTAGTATTCTTCATCTTCAATTGTTTGTATGCTGAGCATTGCAGCTTTCAATGTGCTATGAAATAAAAGCTACAGTGCATTAAACAGGGCGAGCTGTACTGCGTGTTCTCACTGCACCATCTGTCTGGGGCTCACCTTGTCAAGCACAAGATGGCATTATTTAATCAACTAGCAGGAGGAACTGGATCTAAACGAAGTCAAGTGTTTGAGTCTGTATTTCCTGAGAGGGGAAGATTTGAAACCACAAGTGTAAAAAAATGAGGCCATTGGGAGGTAGAAGAATTGGAATGATATTGGTTGCCATAGTTTGTATTGGGAAACAGAATTACAGCTCAGATCATCTTACTCCATTCAGAGGCCAGCCTGATGGAAAGTAATCTCACTGTTTCCAAATGAAATCTCTGGGATTCTTCATCCTGCCATGTCTGCTGGGTTTATCCGCTAAAGACAGTCATTAATGGAGGTTGTTGCCCGAAAACAATCACGGCGATGCAGTTATACAAAATCTTACTGTGTAAACGGTCACGTATGACCAGCTTGGATATTGAGCTGGCGAAAAAAAAGATCCGGCAAGTTTGAAGGTTTTGATCATTTTGCTGTTTGTCTCTGCTGATGCTGCAGAGGCAGACAGTGATAACCTGGCACAGCGTGGTACTGCCTCAATGGGGAGATCACCGACATACACTGAATGGTCAGGTGATGGGATTATAGTCCAAGGGCTTGCCTCTTTATATTTAATCAAATCCATCTGTGTGTTGCTAGCTTGAGGACTACAACAAGAATGATGAGTAAAATTAAAGTAACCCATAGCAGTCAATACAGCACCAATAGTTTGGACTGATTGCTATGGGCTACTGAATTCACCCATCATCACAGATACATACTCTGCTTTATTCACTAATCCTTAACATGTGGATTAATGTAACAGATAAAGAGAAGGACATTTCTACAAAGTTGATTAAACAAGTCTTTTACCTTTTGTCTTAGAAGCTTGTTGCGTACTCGTCCCCAGAGCCGGGCCCCTGTGTTGGAGGGCCGTTTAGCCCCCGCATCCTGTAACCTTTCCAGACAGCAGTGCTCAAGGTGTTCACAAACAGAGTTCAAGTTGCAGTCTGTGTGCATGATCACCTCCGTCATGGTTCTGTGCAGGTAGGGAGCCTCTCCTTTGTTCTTTAGTGCTGTGTGTCACAGAAAGTGTCTTACCTCCTCTGACACCTGCACACAGCCACCCGTTCCCTGTCTACCACCCACCAGGTTAATGCTCTCTGCGTAGCTGTCACTCCTCATTCCTCATACACAGCCCACTAATCCTTTCTTGCACAAGAAGGAACCGGTGATCAGGTATTCTGGTCAGCCTGTAGTGAGATCACAGCTCAGCTCATGAAGAAATAGAACACAGGAGTGTAGATAACCTCATCCAGGCTGAAGGATCTATGGGAGTGAGTGCACAGACTTACTGCCTGACATAAGGAGATTCAAAAGGCAGCCCTCTCAGTTCTCCATACTCCTCCTCCCTCCGCCCTGGCTCTCCCCCTCCAAGTCTTAACTGTTTGGATACCATGCCAAGAAAAGAAAACTTCCCTAAGAAAAATGGATGCAAAATAACAAATACTATTGAGGCAGATCAACCCTTTGATCTGATTAGGGTAGCCACCTCATCCCTTTAAAACCGAACACACATTAATTACACAGGTTCTGAGCCTAATTTATTGCAGTTAAGGCACTAAGAGAGTTTAATTACCACTTTAATCAGCCACAGAACCTGTGTAATTAATGTGTTTGATTTTAAAGGATTGAGGTGGCAACCCTAGATCTGATTTACAAGTAAAATACTATAATCTGTTTTATTACAACATTGTTTCTTTCTTCACAGAGGGCACTGTCCTATTCCCACAAGCCTGTGCTGCCAGAGGAGCTTACACTCTAACCAAGACTGGTAATCTATAGCTGCCACTGTGACAGGTGCTCAAAGTTGCCTCATGCACACTGGACATTTCTCAGTTACTCCTGGCAGTTTTCTTCTGCCTCTAAACACATGCATGTTAGCCTGCCCTATGCACACAAGATTTTAGAGGCAGAAAAAAAGCCCACTGCTGGTGCATCCAAGAGCAGCAGTGTTTTGGCAGGGAAAAAACCGCTTGATGCCTGTAAATGCACTTATGCACTAGGAACATTTAGCGCATGAGCATTAATTCACAAGGCAATGGCCAGAACAAATTATTATTCTGGCCAATTAAACGAATCTTAGATTGTAAGCTCCAAGGAGCAGGGCCTTCCTATCCCTCTTGTATTGAACTGTATTGTTGCTGGATTGTCTCCCTTTATATTGTAAAGCCCTGAGCAAACTGTTGGCGCTATATAAATCCTGTATAATAATTAATGCCAAAGCGCTTGATGCACCTAAATGCGTTAGACACTTTGAAAAGCCTCAAGCTTTTTCTGCCAAAACGCTGATGCCAAAAGGAAAGGCTTCTAGAAGAGTTGGCAAAATGTCCAGTGTGCATGAGGCCTAAATGATAGTGTACTGGAATGAGCTAAACTGAAACAAGAAACCTGCAAATTTCTATTTACAAACAAGGAGAATCCTTTACAATCAAAGAACAGCAAACATCGTGAACTAAGCAGAATTCATACAAAATAACAATTAATAATACTGAGCCAGGTCATAACATTTGCTTTTAGGGCAGTTCACACCAGAATGTGCTGTTTCCCCACACCGCATCTAAAACACATAGCTTCTGAAATCTGTTGCAGGTGACAATACATTATAAACAACACCGCAAATGCAATGTGTTAGCAGGCACTAGGTCACATGGTAACACAGTACCATGTTATTTGGTGCGGTGCATTTTTACAAAAAAAAAAAAAAAAGTATTGCATGCACTACTTTTTGTGTGATTTGCAGCCCGCTCAAATGAATGAGCGGCAAAAATCGCACAGGAACGCAGACCCTATTCCTGTACGATTGATTTCAGCCCTTGTTCACAAATAAAATAATGAATCTGTGTTTAATACAACATTATAGTTGTTTTCACAAAGCACACTGTCCTATTCCCACCAGCCTGGGCTGCCAAAGGAGCTTACAGTCTAACCATAGCAGCCACTGTAACAGGTGACCAATGTTTACTGATAACCTAAGGCTACGTTCACACTAGCGTTGTGTGCAGGTGGCAGAAAGGCGTGTGGGAAGCGTTTTTACTGCTTCCCAAATGCCTCTGACAATTATGCACATTGCAGCACATGGTGCTGTTCTAAAGGGAGCGTTAGCGTCGCGTCAAAACGGACGCCTCTGGTCGAGTCAGGAGGCGTTGAAGCCTCCTATTCTAGTCTATGGTGCCGCTCCGCAAATGCCCAGCCGGCGTTTGCGGTGCGGTTGCAGGGCATTTGCAAAGCGGTAACACCATTCAAACTTCATTATAGGCGTTTGAAGGGCGTTTTTAAACGCTCGGCAAACGCCTAGCAACCGCCGCTGAACCGCGCATGCGGCGCATTAAAAAACGCTCCGCAAACGCCGGACCAACGCTTGCCAAACACTATAGGGGCGTTTGGCAAGAGTTGGTAAGACAGTCAAGTGTGAATGAGCCCTAACCAGGACCAAAAACCTTATTTCTGTTTAAAAAAAAAGTTGTGTGCAGAAGAATTCCTAAAAGAGCAATTCCACCATTTGCAAAAAAAAAAAAAAAAATCAATAAATGCACTTGTCTTGTCAAAAAATTTGAATTTATATATATTACTTTTTGCATTTGAACCTGCAAAGCATTATACCCTTGATCAGTGAATCAGGGATGCAACGCTCTGTCCCCTGTAGACTCTTCATTCAACCCCTGGTCTGTACTGAGTTACAGACCTTCAGCTACAGAGCTGGAGGAGTATGGATGGACTACTCAATCAATGTGATGTCACTGCACTTGTGCTGCATGAGAACTACAAGTTGTAACGAGGGGCGGACTGACAACTCATGGGGCCCCCGGGGAATAGGGGATCATGGGGCCCCTGTGTCCTTGCCCACACTCAAAAAAGCCTACAAAAAGGTACCAGGGGCATTTCATGGGGCCCCCTACTGACCCCGGGCCCTTGGGCAGTGCCCGTGTGCTCGAATGGTCAGTCCGCCCCTGGTTGTAACATTTTCATTCACAACTTCTTGTGAATGAATGACAAGGCTGTGCACAGTTCCCCTCAACATGTAAGAAAAATGACAGGATGCTACAGGGAGAATCAGCCAGTGATGCTGGAAAAGAATGGGGTGGGTGGTTTGAGGGGGAGGGCTGTGCATGCTGACCAAGTTTGATGTAATTTGAAGCATGGTCAGAAAGGCGGAATTAAAGTGTTACTAAACCCACAACAGTAAAATCAGTCTGTATATGCAGTAAAGCATGCTTATTATACTCACTGTGGAACTTAAGGGGTTATTCCTCTGCATTGTGTAAAAAGGATTTTTGATCCGGTCTTCTCTGATCCTCCCCTTTTCATTTCATGATAGTACACAGCCTTGAGGACACTCTGCACATGCTCTGTTTGGTGTGTACTGCTAGGTAGTTTTCTCTTTTTCTTTGAAGGGTGCATGTAATCAGCACAGAGCCAATCAGCACTGTCCAGACAGAAGGTCAGGGGTTATTCAATCTCATAGGACAGTGAAAGGAGAATGAAAACTCCTCTTGCAAGCTTTAACCAGTGTTCAGCTTGACACTGCTAGAAATCACAAGACTGCTCTAACTGCTGATGAGAAAAGCTATTTAGCACTTTATGTTTACTAAAATAATAGCATTTTGATGTTCTGTGTACTGTGGGAGACCAGATATAGTGAATGCAGGGTCCTGGGTTTAGGAACACTTTAACTTTTAAAGTACATTTCCACTTTTGCAGCCATATTGGAATAACACCTACTTTATACAGTGTTACATGTTCCCATTCACATAGCACAACTAAAACAAATTGCTGATTACTTTTTATTTGCTGAAAAATCTTACTTAAAGGAAAAAGTATAAGTTCACCATAGGGAACATATAAAGAAAGCGGAGCAGCGCTAATATTGATAAACCATAAAAGTTCAATGTAAGAGGTGTAGTTTATCAATATTAGCACTGCACCCCTTATTTTATATGTTTTATAATGTGTATCCTGCGATATTGTGCCAGCTGCTGAGTCCTGTTTTTTGTTTTTTATGTTTATTATATTTTTCAGAGTTTAACCCAAGCACGATCATTTGTGGTTTTAGACCTTAGGCAACATGATCCCAACAGCTAAAGCCGCTGCCCGACCCAAAAACCCCCGACAACAGTATGGGGAGCAACTCCCCGTACTAGCCCCTCAGTTCTTAAAAACAGCCTACATGGCCGCATCATTCATTCACAGAGTTCTGTGAATGAATTCTACAAGTCCCGACAGCCTTTGCTGTGAACTGCTGAGATACGGTAGTTGATTGAGTCTTCCTGGATATACAGGCAAGCAGATACACTGACAGCTTGCAGGAGTCCAGCACGGCACCAGCGATATGCTGATTGCTGGTGCAATGCTTTCCAGGCTCAAAAAAAAAAAAAGTAGTAAATACACTTTCCTGTACACGCAAAAAAACCAAATGGCCATTTATTATTTTTTTGTTAAGTGAACTTATCCTTTACGCCGGCCACACATGGATTGATATTTGGCTGGTTCAGCAAGGACTGGCTGAATTTTGAGCCATGTATGGGCACTCTAGTTGTACAGAAAGCCATGTATGGGCAAACATGTTGTGTACAGAAAATGGCGGAGAAGGCTCCCAGCTGAGAGAATACAACAGCACAGCGGGAGTGATTCCCCCATCCACCTTGAACGTGTGGAGGGGGAATCGGCACATTTATTTATGTTCAACCCGCTGGTTGAATGAAAAAAAGAAAAAAAAAAAAAAGTATAAATGTATGGCTTGACAGATGAGTTGACAGGCCACAGACGAGTTGAAAGCTGAATGAAAACTCTTGATTTTTCATTTTCCGCATCATTAGTTGCCGACGATGCGATTTGTGTGTCAAAATCAAAAGAGCCTGATCCAATATGCTGGGTTTTGTTTAGGAAAATGAAACATATGATGGCATAATCTCGAATGCATCATTTTCCTTTTTCAGTCCACAGAACATTCGGTTTTCGACTCATCTATGGCCTGT